AAAAAGAAGGGCTTGGGAATGTGGCTTAGTGGTAGAGTACTTGCCTAGCATACATGAAGCCCTAAGTTGATTCCTCAGTACCACATAAACAGAAAAAGCTGGAAGTGGCACTGTGACTCAAGTGATGGATAGCTAGCCTTGAGCAGCAGAAACTCAGCCAGGCCCGGAGTTCAAGCACCGAGACTGGCAAAAAAAATTAGAAAATGTGATGTGTGAGGCACTGTGTCCGCAGCTTCTGGGTAGCTGCGAATCGATCAGGAGCTTCCCCAGCAACACACTGAACTGTTGGGCACAGTGGTCAGCAATGAGGATGCACAGTTCAGATGGATCAGAGCAGAGGCAGCTGACAGCCAGGAAAGCACATCTACACCAAAGAAAAGGGAACTGCAAGGCTGGTACGCCTCTAAGAGATATGTGGACAATCTGAGCTCTTCATATTCAGACACCTGAGTGTCAGCACAAAGCAGGTGCTCTACTGCTGCAATTCTCCCGTGACTATGGCCTTTGTGAGCAGGCAAGCCCAAGGGAGGCAATGAAATATTTTCACTCCCTGTGACTCCCACCCTGATTTTAGCCCAAGAGGCCTGCTTAAGAGGTCAGGAACAGGTGCTAGAAAATACATGTTTGAAGGCCCTGAGGGAAACCAAACATGCCCAGAACAGTAATCTGACCTCTGACCTGCCCTTCAGCCCTGGCAAATCTGCAGAGACAAAGCTACATCTGAAGATACAGCCAAAAGACTGCTTGCCCTCTTGGGGCTTGGAAGGTAGAGTGCTTCTCTAGCATTCATGAAGCCCTGAGTTCAATTCTTCAGTACCACAGAAACAGAAAAGGCCAAAAGTGGTGCTGTGGCTCAAGTGGTAGAGCATGAGCCTTGAGCAAAAGCAGCTCAGGCACAGTCCCCAGGACTGGAAGAAAAAAAAAAAAAAAGACTGCCCTCTTCCCACCCAGATGGGACACTCACGTGATTGCATTCCTCTATGCGATAGAGCTGATCAGGTGTACACCTCTCCAAAACAGGTTCAAGAACAGAATAGGGGACACCTCCCACTTCAAAGATGGCTGCAGAAGGAAAATCAGAGGTGAGAGTGCTGACTAGCAGCCTGGCCACCCAGTGACAAGGTCATGGTGGAAAGTGCTTGAGAAAAGCAGGCGACTACTCACAGTCGATGTTATTTTTAAGCACACGGATGCACTGCTGGTGCAAGGTCATCATTTTGGGGAGATAGGCACACTTGGAACCAGAATACACCTGCATCTTGGAATTCATTCTGCGCCCAGTGAATCCAGCTTCTTCTTCTTCCTGGGGTGAAGAGAATGCTACAGGGCAAGAAAAACCAGAGTGTCACACAAGCCCCAGCCACACAGTGACACTCTTCTTCCACCCTGTGCTCAGCCTCTCCTGCCCTCTCTCAAAGACAACTAATGTCACAATTCCTATGGATCCTTTCAGACACATGGCAGAAGTAAGCCCCTGTGAATCTTAGTATCATATTCACTACACACATCACTCTTTTCATTTATATTGGAGCGATCATTCCATGTCTGTACATTTATAGTGGCACAAGAGGCCACCATGTGGGTGAGCTGGGATTCTGTTCATCTCTGGCTAATGGACACATACAGGGCTTTATTTACTTGCTTATTTCTGGTCCTGACACTCAAACTTTGGGCTTGGGCAACTGTCCCTGAGCTTCTTTTTGCTCAAGGTTAGCACTCTACCACTTGAGCCACAATGCCACTTCCAGCTTTTTCTGTGATTAAGTGGAGGTAGGAGGCTCATAGACTTTTCTTCCCAGGCTGGCTTCAAACCACAATCCTCAGATCTCAGCCTCCTGAGTAGCAAGGATTACAGGCACCCGGCTCAGGGCTTTATGTTTTTGCTATTCAAACTGGATATTTTTGCTGGGTACCAGCGATTCACATTTATAATCCTAGCTACTTAGGAGGATAAGACCTAAGAATCATGATTCAAAGTCAGTCAGGGCAGGAATATTTGTAAAACTCTTATCTCCAATTAACCAGCAAAAAGCAAGAAGTGAGAATGTGGCTCAAGTGATAAGCATCAGCCTTCAGTGAAAAAGCTCACAGACAATACCCAGGCACTGAGTTCAAGCCTCAGTACTGACAACAAAAGTTAATAAATAAGCAAACAAAAATAACGACTTTTTTTTTTTTTAATTTTGAGTCCTGAACCCAGGGCCTGGGCATACTGTCCCTGAGCTTTTTTTTTTTGGTCGGTCGTGGGGCTTGAACTCTGGGCTTGGGCCCTGTCCCTGTGCTCTTCAGCTCAAGGCGAGCACTCTACCACTTGAGCCACAGCGACACTTCTGGTTTTCTAGTGGTTTAATTGGAGTTAAGAGTCTCACAGATTTTTCTGCCCGGGCTGGCTTTGAACTCAGCTTTTTTACTCAAGGATACTAATCTACTACTTTCAGCCACGGCTCCACTTCTGGTTTTCTGGTGGTTAATTGAAAAGTCTCAGGGACTTTCCTGACCAGGCTGGCTTCAAACTGCGATCCTCAGATCTCAGCCTCCTGAGTAGCTAGGATTACAGGCAGGAGCCACTGGTGCCCAAATGACATTTTTCTTTTTTTCTTTTTTTTGCCAGTCGTGGATCTGAATTCTGGGCCTGGGCGCTGTCCCTCAGCTCTTCAGCTCAAGGCAAGCGCTCTACGGCTTGAGCCACAGGCCACTTCCGGCTTTTTCTGTTTATATGGTGCTGAGGAATTGAACTCAGAGCCTCAAGCATGCAAGGCAAGCACTCTACCACTGAGCCTGACATTTTTCTTTTAATATAAAAATCATGGAAGTGGCATTGTAGCTCAAGTGGTAGAGCACTAGCCTTGAAGTGAAGAGCTGAGGGACAGCGCTCAGGCCGAGTTGAAGCCCCAGGACCAACAAAAAAAAAAAAAAGGAGAAGAAAGAAAGAAAGAAAATATCAGCCAGGCACTGGTGGCTCACACCTGTAATCCTAGATACTCAGGAGGCTGAGATCTGAGGATAGTGGTTCAAAGCCAACCCAGACAAGAAAGTCCGTGAAACTCTTATCTCCAATAAAACACCAGAAAACCAGAAATGGCGCTGTGGCTCAAGTGGCAGAGTGCCAGCCTTGAGCTAAGAGCTGAGGGACAGTACTCAGGCCCAGAGTTCAAGCCACACGACCGACAAAAAAAAAAAAAATCACCTGAGCTGGGAAGGTGGCTCAGTGGTAGAGCGCTTGCCTAGCATGATGAAGCTCTGGGTTCAATTCCTCAGTACTACATAAACAGAAAAAGCCAGAAGTGATGTTGTGGCTCAACTGGTAGAGTGCTAGCCTTGAGCACAAAGAGGCTCAAGGACAGCACACAGTCCCTGAGTTCAAGCCCTATGACTGTCCCCCTTACCCCCCCCCCAAAAAAAATCACCTAACAAAAAGAATAAAGGGGACTGGAAAGGTGGCTCAGTAATAGAGTGTTTGCCTTGCATGTATGAGACCCTGGGTTCAATTCTTCAGCACCACATAAACAGAAAAAGCCGGAAGTAGCGCTGTGGCTCAAGTGGTGGAGCGTTAACCTTGAGCTGAAGAGCTGAGGGACAGCGCCCAGGCCCAGAGTTCAGGCCTCATGACCAAAAAAAAAAGAAGAAGAAGAAAGGACTGTTAATAACAGCAACAGCTAAGGTTTATTGAACATTGCTATACGAAAAATCTGGAGCTAAAAGCTTTATTAGCATTATCACATTTGCATTACTTTACCACATTAGGCAAATATTATTACTCCCAGTTATGGATTATAAAACTGAGGTTTAGCCAGGTGCCAGTGGCTCACACCTATAATACTAGTTACTCAGGAGGCTGAGATCTAAGGATCTCAGTTCAAAGCCAGCCTGGGCAGGAAAGTCTGTAAGACTCTGATCTCCAATAAACCACCAGAAAACCAGAAGTGATGCAGAGGCTCTAGTGGTAGAGCACTAGCCTTGAGCTGAAGAGCTGAGGGACAGCATTCAGGCCCAGAGTTCAAGCTCCATGACCAAAAAACCCCAAAAAACCCTGAGGTTTAAAGAAATGATTATTACCCAAGGTCAGACACCTTGTACAGACCAATGCTGGGATCCCACCTGAGCCATCAAACTCCAGAATTTGTGAAGATGGAGCACAAATGAGATTTACACTCCCCTGCCCCCATTTAAAAAAAGAGATGCAGAAAATCACCTTTTCGTTTTGGTTGGAAGGAAGATATCAGTTCAAGGGAAGGAAGTGGGCGGTAATTGGCCTGGATGGCAGGTAATGGCAGGTCTGGCAGCACTGGCACAGCATCCATGGAGACCTGTGAAAGAGAGAGTGAGCAGAGGCCCTCCCACCGCGGTTGCTCTCTACAGGCCAGCCTAAGAGCACTGAAACACTGCACACCTCAGGCTGAACTGGGGCCAGAGTCATGAATGACACCAGCTAAGTCAAGAAACGAATGCAGACGGGACCAACATAAATATTTTGGGTACTAGGGACTGAGCGTAGAGCCTTACATACATTCAGCACATACTCTACCACTGACCTATATTCTCAGTCCAGAAAATTGTCATTTTTCACGGTGGTAATGGAGTTTGAACTCAGATATCATGCTTGCTAGGAAGCCTTCTACTATGGGAGCCTCAGCTGCATCCCCAGAAAATTATCATGGGTGCTATTTTTTTTTTTTTTTGGTATGGTATGGGGCTTGAACTCTGGACCTAGGAGCTGTCCCTGAGCTTTTCAGCTCAAGGTGTGCGCTCTACCACTTGAGCCATAGTGCTACTTCCAGTTTTCTGGTGGTTTATTGGAGATAAGAGTCTCATGGACTTTCCTGCCTGGACTGGCTTTGAACTGTGATCCCCAGATCTCAGCCTCCTGAGTAGCTAGAATTACAGGTGTGAGCCACCGGCACCCGGCTCCCTGGGTGCTATTTATATGGCAGCTACCAAGGCCAGGCGAGCCTCTCCAGCAGGACCAGGAGAAGGGTGCAGGCAGACCTGTGCCCCCTCACTGTAGGCTTACCTTTCTTGGCTTGGCTGAATCAGCTCCAGCCAGCTGCAGCTTCTCTGACTTATTTTCATTTACCTTGGGCAATTTCTGAACTGAGTCCAAGTTTTTGCTAGTGCTTTTAGATTCACTTTTTTTCAGCCCTTTCTCTCCAAGTGCTGTGGTGGAAGTTTTCACAATTTTCTTCTTTTTCTTCCTGGGCTGGTCGTAGCTGAGGTATGATTCAAAGGACATGGTGGGCTGCTCAAATTCATCGTCCACATCTGCCTCCTCCTCTTTATGGAATGAGCTCAGGGACTTTTTACCTGAATGAGAAGTCTTCACCTTCCCTTCTTGAGCCTTTAGGTTGTTGGAGATCTTTTCTTTTGTTTTGGGCAACAGGTCTCCAGCCCCCTTCCCGATGTCTAGCCCATCCACACTTTGCTTAGTCTTGTCATATTTGGTTTTCTCCAAATCCTTGTGTTTTGTTTTTTTAAGGAGGTTGTCTGAAGCAACCTCCAGGGTGGATGAGAACTTCTTCTTCAGACTGCTACCTTCTCTTTCCTTCTCTTTCTTGACAGCACCAGAGGGTTGTTTCTCCTTAACACTGTCCCCTGATAGTGGCCTTCGGCTTTCCTCTTTGGCAAGGGCCTTGTGTGATTTCTCTCTGCTCAGAGCAGGGGCCTTCTCGTCTCCCCTGGCATCCACAGGGCGCTTCTCCTTGTGGGAAGTTTTGTGCTCCTTGTTTTGGTTCGTAACCCCTTTGCCCTGGGATTCCCCCAGGTGCCGTTCCTGACTGACCCCCAGTCTGTCCTGAAGGGCATTACTGTGGCCTCTCCCAGGCTTCTGATGTGGAGTTATGGCCTCGTGGTCCTCCTCTGGGGACCTGTAATGGTTCATGAACACCTGATGGTGATGGGGACTAGCAGAAGCTGGGGGGGACTGAACATGGCCATAGTCAGAAGACTCAGGGTCTGAAGAATATGGTGGTGATGCTCGGTGGCACTTCTTTCTCTCATCTCTCCGCTCATGGCTGTGAGACACTCTGTGTGGTCTTTCTAGCTCTGGGAGTTTTCTGTGTTTCTTCTGTCTAGGCTCAGGGCTGTAGGATTGGCTGCTGGAGGCTTTCCAGTTTTCCTGGTGTTCCCCCTGCATCTCCTCCTCCCTCTGAAGAACATCCCGAGGTCGCTTTCGGGAGCTGCTCTTCTCAAAGTCCTGTTCATCAGCGTCGCTGTTTCTAAAATCGAATTAAAAACAGATATACACATCAGTGTAAGCCTTGTTCAGACTCCAGTTCAAGCCTTAGTACTGCCAAAAGAAAAAGAAAACAAAAATGCTGTGTGTGTGTGTATATTGCTATTTGTTTTGTTTTATTAAATAGCTGGTTGCAGTAGCTCGTGCCTATAATCATAGCTACTTGGGAGGTGGAGATCAAAGGAGCTAGACAAAAAAAGTTCTTGAGACCTCATCTCAACCAATGTAATGCTGGGCAAATGGTACACACCTGTCATCTCAGCTATGTGGGAATTGTAAGTTGGAGGATCTTGGCCCAGGCAAGCCTGGGCAAAAAGGGAGGCATCATTTGAAAATAAGGAAAGCATGGGGCTGGGAATGTGGCTTAGTGATACAGTGCTTAGCCTAGCATGCATGAAGTTTTGGGTTCAATTCCTCAGTACCACATAAACAGAAAAAGTCAGAAGTGGCACTGTGGCTCAAGTGGTAAAGTGCTACCCTTGAGCAAAAAAAAGCTCAGGGACAGTGCCCAGGATTTCAGTTCAAGCCCTAGGACTGGAAAAAAAAGAAAATAAGGAAAGCAAAATAGGATGAGGATATAGGTAAAGTGGTAGAGTATTTGCCCAGCAGGTGCTAAGTTCAAATCCCAGTAGCATCAAGATAAATAAGCTCAACTAATTTTAAAAATTGAGAAAACAAATATTCATAAATGGGAAGTAAATCTGGGCGCCGGGGGCTCATGCCCGTAATCCTAGCTACTTAGGAGACTGAGATCTGAGGATCACATTTCAAAGCCAGCCTAAGCAGGAAAGTCCATGAGACTCTTATCTCCAATAAAAACCACTAGAAAACTAGAAGTGGCTCTGTGGCTCAAGGGGTAGGGTAGAGCATTTGCCTTGAGCTGAAGAGCGCAGGGACAGCGCCCAAGCCCAGAGTTCAAGCCCCACAATCAACAACAACAACAAAAAAAAATCAAGACTCTTATCTCCAATGAACAAGCAAAAAGTCCGGAGTAAAGGTGTGATAGAGCTCCAGCCTCAAGTGGAAAAGCTAAGCAAGAATATGAGGGTGAGTTGAAGCTACAGTACAGAAAGGGAAAAAAAAGGAAAAGAAATAGAAAGGGAAGGAAGGAAGGAAGGAAAGAAGGAAGGAAGGAAGGAGGAAAAAATGTTGGAAGAGTTGGGATATAGCTAACAGCAGGTATGGCAAGACCTTAGGTTCAATTTCCAGAACAACTAAAGTTACCATTGCCCCAACAAAAAGCCAAAAATGTTCATGCTTATTTTTAAATGTCAAAGTAGAAAATTGTATTATCTCTATTTTAGATACTTTCTAACATTCTACAATGATCGTAGGTTCTTTTTATAATGATACAAAATATTTTTAAGTTTATGTGTGTGTGTATGTGTGTGTGTGTGTGTGCATGCGTGCGTGTGTGTGCGCGCATGCATACAGTGCCACTTCTGTCTTTTTCTGTTTATGTTAAGGAATCAAACCCAGGGCTTTGTGCATGCAGGCAAGCACTCTACCACTTAAACCACATTCCCTGCCCTAAACAGGCATTTTAAATACGAAGTTGGAGCCAGGTGTTGGTGGCTCACATCTGTAATCCTAGCTACTCAGGAGGTTGAGATCTGAGGATTGAAGTTCAAAGCCAGTTCAGACAAGAAAGTCCATGAGACTTATCTCCAATAAACCACTCAGAAAACTGGAAGTGGCACTGTGGCTCAAGTGGTAGAGCCCTTGCCTTGAGCTGAAGAGCTGAGGGACAGTGCTCAGGCCCAGAGTTCAAGCCCCACAACCTGGGGGAGTTGGGGGGGAGGGGGCGGGGATAAGATGAAGTTGGAAGAGGAATACCAAAAAAAAGTTATAAAGCTGCTGGGTATGGGCAGCCCATACTTGTAATCCTAGCTGCTCAGGAAGCTGAGGTCTGAGGCTCGCTGTTCAAGCCAACCTGAACAGGAAAGTCCATGAGACTCTTCTCCAATTTACAACCAACCAAAAAAAAAAAAAAAGCTGGGAGTAGACTGGGAAGGTGGCTTAGTGGTAGAGTGCTTGCCTAGCATGCATGAAACCCTAGGTATGATTCCTCAGAACCACATAAACAGGAAAACGCCAGAATTAGCAATGTGGCTCAAGTGGTAGAGTGCTAGCCTTGAGCAAAAGCTCAGGGAAGCCAGGCACAGGTGGCTCACACCTATAATCCTAGCTACTCAGGAGGCTGAGAGCATCTCAGTTCAAAGCCAGCCTGGGAAGAAAAGCCCATGAGACTATTACCTCCAATAAACTACCAGAAAACTGGAAGTGGCGTTGTGGCTCAAGTGGTAGAACACTCTCCTTGAGCTGAAGAGCTAAGAGACAAGCACCCAGGCCCCCAGTTCAAGCCCCATGACTGACAAAAAGAGAAGACAAAGATGAAGCAGCAGCAGCTCAGGAACAGTACCAGGCCTTGAGTTCAAGCCTCAGGACCAGCATATTAAAAAAAGAAAAGGAAAGAAAGACAGCAATAAAGCTGAACAAATCTAAAGATAAATGTTTTTACCGTTCCACAGGAACCAGCTTCTTCCACTGGGCCACTAGGTCCCTGGCAAAGCTTCCAACTTGCTCATGTTTTCGATAGCTATTTACTGTCTTCCCGACCCCAGTCTCCTGCAAATGGCAAATGCAACATAGAAGTTGACAGAGGAATTGATGCATCCTGCAAATCAGTTACTTTGTTGCCTGATGGCCAAGTCTCTAATGACACATAGTAACAATATATACAAACTCAGAGGAAAATATCATTAAAAGACTTCCAGAACTTTAACAATGTAACGATGTTTCAGGTCTGAAGCAAGATCTAAAAGCTCTTCATAATGGTGGAGCAGAAGTCAGCCTCAGTGGACATAGATACATAAAGCGAAAGTTATAGTACCTGGATTCAAATCCAGGTGTCAAAACCAATCTTTTCATTCATTATTTTAATTCTGAAATACAAGTCACATTCATAGGTGTAGCTAAGTGGTAGGGTATTTGCCTAACATTCCCAACACAATGGGTTTATTCCCCAGCACTGCAATTAATCACCATTTTAACAATGTAAATAAGCTCAGTGATTTCCAGGATACTCCTAATACTATATAATCATTACTACAACAGGGACATAATCATGACTTTGCTGAGAAACAATGATTTCTTACTTGGGCCCACAAACAGAAGACAGAAATAAAGCTTGAATTCAAGCCTCCTCCATCTTGTATCTGTGTCCTTTGCCCTGAGCCATTCTCCTGTGCAGTCACTTTACGGCCATCTTGGAAGCCAGTTAGGAGCTGACAGCTGACTTGACCAGCTGCCAGGCATCAATGACTCTTGCTTGGGACTGTTTAACTATGCATACCTTTCACTTGCTACCCTTAATTCTTTGTCTATTTAAACCTGTAACCTCTGCCTGCACCCAGAAGAGGGAGAAAGAACTCACATACTGTCTTCCTGTGGCAGCCGGTGCCATAAAATAACTCTCCTCTCAATGTCTCTTTATCTGGCACATAGGGACAAGTGGTTGGACCTGTGGAACTCCTGGAGCTGGGCCTGGGGTTTCAAACCCAGATTTCCTTACCAGGACATTTCCACCACCCTCCAAAGATACGTTGTTCCCTCCAGTCCCACAACACCAAATAACTACTCACTCACTTCCTGTCTTTGAATTTGTCTAGACTGGACATCTCATATAAAAAGGTCATAATTATGCAACCATTATGCAACCTTTCCAAAAGCCCATCCCCTAAACTTCCTCTATACTCGTCAGTAGCAAGGCTATGGGACAGAGTTTTATAGTAGTTAAAGTTGCACAGTTCTTACCGCAAGAATGTCTACTGTAATAGGCAAGGTGGAGAGTTTCTTCAAATATTTCAATAGCTGCAGAGAATAAAACAAACATTAGCTTCTATAAAGTCACAATCACATTTACAGGACTGAACAAGAATATCTGATGGGGGCTGGGAATGTGGCTTAGTGGTAGAGTGCTTGCCTGGCATGCACGAAGCCCTGGGTATTTGATTCCTCAGTACCACATAAACAGAAAAGGCAGGAGTGGTGCTGTGGCTCAAGTGGTAGAGTGCTAGCCTTGAGCTAAAGAAGCTCAGGGACAGTGCCCAGGCTCTGAGTTCAAGCCCCAGGACTGGAAGCAAAGAAAAAAGAATTTCTCATGTTCACTGCTCACACAGTGCTATGCATCTTCCAGGAATGAGTATGGCTACTATGTAGTTCACAAGTAAAAACAGGCTCCAAAAGTGTTGTCACTAGCCCCAGGACACAGGCAGGGCAGGACTTACTGGAGTCCTTAGCTTCAGACTGCACTTTCAACTGCTCTGCCACACCAAGGTGAAGACACAGGAAGCACCAAAACCTACTCTGCTAGTCCCTGGCAACCATATCTGTCTCACTGTGGCAGAGATTTATGAGAAAGATACCAAGTTTAGAGGAACTTCTCATGGACCTGGCAGAGGATGGTAGAGAGAAAAGGCCTCTGCAGGAAGATGGTAGCAACGTGGTGCCAACACAACACTCACTAGTGGGAAGCCAAGAGTAATCCTGAGCAGCCAGAATTGGAGCTTTGCTGAGATTATGTTGATGCTAAACACAAAATGCCTGGGTGGTTAGAAAGGAAATCTTGGTTTGGCCACATTTCCTTTATTCAGTCCCGAAAACTAGGTCAAACTCAGTATAAAAGAACCATGAAGATGGAGTTTGGGAGTCAGAGAAGCCATCATCTTCTTTCCAGGTGATCTTGGGCAAGTCAGTAACCTCCCTGAACCTGTTACATCAAACTGCAGAAGAAATTGGATCCTGTTTCCACGTCACAAGCAATGAGGTACTTTGTCATAGTTTGATACTGTAAAAGCTCATCATGCTTATTATTCATCACTTATCAGCTGACAGCTCTTTAAACACTCTAATGTGGATCTTCAACCAGACAATGCTCAGCCAGTTTATACCAAGAGCCTTTCTCCAGAAAACGTGCGTGGGCAGTTTCCATACAAGGAGCATTGCACAGTTAAGTAGTTCAGTAGGTAACTGTGGCTATCCTTACACTTGTAGCTTCAACTCTTAACTGCCATGCCATGCTGCTAATAGGTGGAGTAAAGAGTATGTTTTTCTGGCCATTCTCCTTGAATAATTCCTTAACCCTGACGCTAGGCAGAGCAACTGGAATACTGATGGTAATCTTTTTTCTTCTTTTTGCCAGTCCTAGGGCTTGAACTCAGGGCCTGGGCACTCTCCCTAAGCTGCTTTGGCTTACTTCTGGCAAGAGCCATTTCTGACTTTTTCTGTTTATGTAGTACTGAGGAATCAAACCCAGGGCTTGTGCATGCTAGGCAAACACTACCATGAAGCCACATTCCCAGCCCAGATGGTAATCTTGTTTAACTAGGAATAAGAGGTCAAGTGGGCAGTAGTGTAGAACTTTAGAATGGAGTGAAAATTGTCCTCTACTAAATTCTATCTCCACTGTAATCCAATTCAGGAAAAAAAAAATGTGTATTGCCTTTTTGTTTGATTCTTTGAGTCAAGAGTTCTGCTGCATAAACCAGGCTGGTTCCGAATGCCTGGTCCTCCTGCCTCAGCCTGAGTGTTGGGACTATAAGTGAGGACCACCATATCTGGTTGTACTCATCTTTGTCGTCCAGGCTATAGGTTCAAAGACTAGTACCAATTTCCTTTCTTCCTTTCTTTCCTTCCCTCCCTGCTTCCCTTCCTTTCTGGGTGTGCAGGTGCCATTACTGGGAATTGAACTCTAAGCCTAGAGCTCTTTGCTTGGCTTTTTCCACTCTGAGCTGGCACTCTACCACTTGAGTCACACTTTCATCTTTCTGCTGGTTAACTGGAAATAAGAGTCTCTCAGAGGAGCTGGGAAGGTGGCTCAGTGGTAGAGCGCTTGCCTTGCATGCATGAGGCCCTGGGTTCCATTCCTCAGCACCACATAAGCAGAAGAAAAAGCCAGAAGTGGTGCTATGGCTCAAGTGGTAGTGCGCTAGCCTTGAGCTGAAGAGCTGAGGGACAGTGCACAGGCCCAGAGTTCAGGCCCCACAACTGGACCAAAAAAAAAAAAAAGAGTCTCTCAGATTTGTCTGCCCAGTTTGGGCTGGCTTTGAACCTGCATCCTCAGATCTCAGCTTCCTGAGTAGCTATGATTACACACATAAGTCACCAGTGCCCAGCTTGCCAATTCCTTTTCTTCTTCTTCTTTTTTTTTTCCTTTACTCTGTTGTTGGTCTTGGGGCTTAAACTCAGGGCCTGGGCATTGTCTCTGAACTCTTTTTGCTCAAGGCTAGCACTTTACCACTTTGAGCCATAGTGCCACTTCCAGTTTTCTGATGGTTAATTAGAGATAAGAATCTCATGGCCTTTCTTGCTTGGGCTGGCTTTGAACTGTGATCCTCAGATCTCAGCCTCCGTTCTAATGCATTTACATGGATCCACTGAGTGAGGCTGCTCTGTGCAGTCCTCCCATGACTAACCTTGATCCTATTTGACAGACAGTGACACTGCACAGTGAAGTTTGGTAAGTTGCTTCACAAGCTGAGAAGCACCCAACATAACTAACACTGTGTCATTAGGAATAGAAAATAGTGCATATGGGGGCTGGGAAGGTGGCCCAGTGGTAGAGTGCTTGCCTTGCATGCCTGAGGCCCTGGGTTCCATTCCTCAGCACCACATAAGAAAAAAGAAAAAAGCTGGAAGTGGCGCTGTGGCTCAAGTGGTAGAGCGCTAGCCTTGAGCTGAAGAGCTAAGGGACAGCACCCAGGCCCAGAGTTCAGGCCTACGACCGGATCCCCCTCCCCCCCCAAAAAAAATAGTGCATATGCCTAACACAAGCCTGGAAGAAAGCACAGAAGCAGCTCCTCGATCACAGTCCACTTGCCCACGTGGTAAAGGTCACCCAGGAGGCAGAGTGTCAGGACCTCTGTGAAGGCAACACAGGAGAAGAGCACTGGAAGCACAGTGGTGTGCACCCCCACACCTAACACTGCTGTAAGTTGCACAGCACAGGGTGTATGCACCCCCATACCCAGCACTACCTTGAGGACCTGCTGCCTTTGTGCTGGACCTCAGGTGAGTAGGAGTGAACTGACCAGAAAAACTCAAGCCCAAGACTTTCAAACTGATCTAGCCCAACACAAGAAAGGCCTTCCCATCACTATTATTCTCAGTCAGTTCCAAGGAAGCAATAACATGGCACTCAGTATCCTGAGACAGATGCAAACTTGATGTTATCAAACCAAGGTACCAGGGGTACAGTTTTCTTTTTATTTTTTTTTGTTTGTTTTTTGTAGGTCGTGGGGCTTGAACTCTAGGCCTGGGCACTGTCCCTCAGCTCTTCAACTCAAGGTGAGCACTCTACTGCTTGAGCCACAGCACCACTTCCAGTTTTCTGGTGGTTTATTGGAGATAAGAGTTTCATGGACTTTCCTGCCCAGGCTGGCTTTGAACCTCGATCCTCAAATCGAGTAGCTAGGATTACAGGCATGAGCCACCGGTGCCCAGCAGGGGTACAGTTTTCTAAGTACTGGTAACGAGAGACTGAGAAACGTCAAATGTGTGCACACAACATGCTGAAAATCTCAGTTGCCTTAATACCACCATCAACTGGTGTTCTCCAGGTAGTCACATTCAAAATTTAACACAGGACGGCCATGAAAACCAGTTCTGGTTCAAATCAGTTCGTTTGGCAGGAACAAAAAGCCAAGTGATACAGGGCCACTGGTGGCTCACCCCTGTAATCCTATCTACTCAGGAGACTGAGATCTGAGGATTGCAGTTCAAAGTTAGTCCAATTAACCACCAGAAAGTCAGAGGTGGCACTGTGGCTCTCAAGGTGGTAGAGCACAAAAGCTCAGGGACAGTGCCCAGGCCCTGAGTTCAAGCCCTATAACTGACCAAAAACAAATTAAAAAGCCAACTGAGTTGCTCTGTTTAGAACCTCTCCCAAGTATGGGTGGATTGCAGATGAATGTACAGTAAGAACCCGAAGCCGGGAGCTGGTGTCTCACGCCTGTAATCCTAGCTACTCAGGAGGCTGAGATCTGAGGATCGCGGTTCAAAGCCAGCCCGGGCAGGAGAGACCGTGAGACTCCTATCTCC